GTTGTAATGTGACAAAATATGGAAAAGTTCAAGGGGTATGAATACTTTTGCAAACCACTGTAGCATTGGCCATGCACACTGACAATATTTGAGATTATCAGCAGAGATAACTGGGTTTATGTGACCAAATTTATACACACTGTCTGCAGCAGCTTGTTCTCCGATAGAATTATACTAAAAGACAAGTATTTACAACAACGCTTACAGATTTGTCACCTTTATTTTGTTTGCATAATGTCAAATTTACAGAAGAGTTTCACATTGTCTGGGTATTTTTTTTTGAATACCTGAGATATCGGCCAAATAAAATATTAAAATCTGACTCTTCCGTACATAGACATTGCACTTTTTTTTTTAAATTGCACTTACAAATGTGAAACCAGTCCATTTGGGGAAACACTAACAGAGAAAACCTTTTTTTTTTCATGTGAAGCAGCCAGTCAGAAGGCACAATCTGAAACTAAACCACTGCACCACAGTCACAACACACAGTATTCATATCTGATACATCACAGCACAAATAAAGTAAAATCAGTAAACTATAGGCTTGTTGGTGGGGCTGCATGTGTTAGCAGGAACAGAAAAAGCTTCACTTTAAGCTAAAATGCAGAGGAGCACCAATATTTTCTGTAAAGACTGAATTCTGCTACATTTTAAAGACGTCAGCAGCACAAAGAATCAAACTAAATAAATATATCATATGTGCTGTCCATGTGCAGCTTACAAGCATGAAAACAAACATTTAGGTGCAGTTCTAAACTCTTTGGGATCTTTGTAATCTGTGAAAGTGACAAAGTGAGGGCTCAGTCTGAAAGGAAAACAGAGGCTACAGGATCTGTAGGATCTGGTTAGGCACAGGGTTATTACAGCATTTTCTCTTAATAATTCCCTTTTCTCTCACAAATACAGACAGAACTGTCCTGGTGGATTTGTCACAGCATTCCAAAACCTTTGGCATTCGTGATGGCCTTAAGGAGTCTTTCCCTCAGTTTCTCTTTGGAGGAGTATTCAGGCAGCAGCAGTGCATTAAAGCAGGTGTGAGACGTGGGAAGCCTGCGAAACCAACAAACAAACAAAAAAAAATCCACAAAGAAAACATTTTTAACACACACGAGCAGAGTAACAATCAGACTCTGAGGATGATCCGGTACCTGTCTGTGTCAGAGCCGTTCTTGGTGATGATCATCTTTAACTTGCCAAGACCACCAACAGGTGCTCTGTCTGTGCCTGTGGTGAACTGAAGAAACAGACGTTTTTGTTCCTCTGCAAAGGAGTGGATAATGTCCCAGAAATCCCTGTGCCCAGAAATATAAGAAAAATGTTTATTTTTTTTACAGCGCAATGCATTTTGAAGGGATCTCTGACTAGTTAGATATTATTTAATAAAGATTTATTTCAACGCTTGCTGCAACACTTGTGAGCTTCAACCAGTTTGAATGTTAATTTTAGACAATATCTGACGTTCAGMCCTTTTAAATAAAACCAGAGAACGATGACAGAGAGGAGAATGTAGAAATGACTCRGCCTGAAACTGAAAACGATGATAGAGGACAACAGAGCTGCTTCATGGATGGATAACCTCAACTTTAGCCTGTTAGCTTTCACATTAGCTTCAGAGCTAATATATGGAGATATGTGTCCAAATTCAGGGGCTGCTTCCTCTAAAGGCCGAATGTGTCGGCAGCTTACGTCACAGAGCCGTGCCAGAGGCTGTCCAAACTATTTGAAGGTTTCTGTTAGACAAACATGACCTGCTGAGAAGACGGTTAGCTAATATCAGTAGGGACAAGTTTCGTCCTAAAAGAAGTGTTCACTGGTAAATAATAATTATTATT